ATTTAAAGCAGCATGCTTCCAGATTCATGCTAATTTTCATGAAAATTTTGAAAACATACTCTCAAGTAAAAGATTGTTAAGTGAACAAAGAAAGTAATTTACACGTACATTCTATGCAAATTACCAAAAATAGGCCAAAACATGCAGCTACGCAGTAGAAATATGGTAATAATGCTGCAATACCAGTCTTAATCGAACATGTGAATTATTACTTTAATCTTGAATCGTTTTACCTAAAATCTTAATACATTTCTCCCAAGTTGGGTTTCTTAACATATTTTAACGGCCATCTATTTTACTCTATTTAGAAAAATAAAACAAAACAACACAACAAAAATTATTAGCCACATGGCCTTAACCCCTATGACATCAAATTCAAAATGAAAGCAAACGGATACGAAAAGTTTATTTTGCAGAAAGCATAATACAACCGTGAATTGTAATATATACAAAGTTTGGAGATAAGAACATGGATTTTTTAGCAGACAAAAGATGAATCCTGGAATATAATCTTCAATATTCAATAATTTGCGCTTGCATGTATAAGTAAAGATGGTCTGACCACTACATGTTTACCAAATACCGTAGGCTTTCGTTAAGAAATGAAGGTTGTAAAAAATTAAAAAAGCTGGTTTTAGACAAGTTGAAGTGTCAAGTTGAGGTTCATGCAAGGCGGTTCTTTACCCAAATGTCAAGTATAGAGATAGGTAAATGTTTATTTTTTTTCATCTGGTTATACAATTGTACAACACCATATCATCTAACAATAGTAAATAGTTTACAACATCAAAACAAGGAACTGGATGAAAGCTACAGGCACAACAGCAATTAATAACATTTTGCATCTGTTTATTACATTGAATTTGTAACTGTCCGTCCCAGGATTCCAGTAAATTCGATTTACTTTTCAAATACATTGCATGTTTACATGGTTATTTAAACAGCCATTCTTCTTATTCAGGCTTTTTTAAAGAAAAAAAATAAGAATTTGCAAATTACATGAACTGAATGTAGGGAACTGTTGATAGTCCTCAATATACTGGGACCACTAAAAAATCTAATAGATTTAATTTTAATGAATGTGGGCTAACAAGCATTTTATGGAATTAAAGAAAAATAAAATAAAAATAACTTTACAAGATTCAACAGTTGATCGAAATTTTATTCTAAAATTGAGCTGTACTTTGAAGTCATTATTTTTGTATTTTGCAGTGTTATATTTCTATTTTACCAGTCATAAATTTCATCCAAAACTATGGGTTGAATTCATATTTTATCCAACCAAATCGTTTTTATTTTCATAATCTTTGATACAGTTATTTAATTCTTTAAATCTGCACCAACTTGTCATTCAATACTACATCGTAAAATCAGCGTGTCTTACTCGCGCTTTGTTAATTTCAACAATTAAATTGGTTAGTGTTTGTTAAATCGTCATTAATTCATTAAATCTGTCGCGCGACTGTGTTGCTTCAGACAGATTTAAATTCATTAACGCTTATTTACAAACACCTGTACGAATCGTTGTTTCTTTGCTAATCAAAATGTTTCAACATTGTGTTTATGTACCATACCATTTAAGCCTTATGTGACCAATGTGAATTTCAATATAATCAGGACGTTTGGTCCTATTTGTGAACATGGGGGCTGGAAAAGAAAAGAAAATTGGGACCGGAATAATAAAAGAACACCGGAACCTGAATAATAAAGGAACATTGACAAATAAATGGTTGAAGGTTCCATGATAACCGCCGTATGAACACATCTGTGGATGTTTTTAAATTCAAAATTTTTCCATTTTCGTGTTTAAATGTTGAATTCTGCTTAAGCCGGTGCTAGTGGGCGTGGACGGTAACTTGCACTTTCCAGTACCGTTCATGAAAAGGCTCAATCAATCCGAGCCTGCAACATTTTCAATTTTGCCTTTTTTGCTTTCTTTAGGGATTCTGTTTTTCTCTATTTTATGGTCACATCAGTGTTATATGTGCCTTGTGGCGGCCGTAAAAAGTCTCCCCGCACATTTAATCAAAGATGTTATATTTTCGATCCTTGAAGATCGTTCAGCACGACTTAATTGTTGTGTATACATGTTATGTGGTAATTTTAGTTTTTTCTATATGGCCTTTTTCAACTTGGGTGGTTCTAGTATTCCTACTTGAATACTGTCTAATCACCCATAGGATATGGTGTCTACTTTTTAAATTGTCTTTTGACGTCTTATCTGTGATATGCAGGCTTCATAACCTCTGATCCCCTTTCAAAATTCAATTTATTAAGTTCCGCCCATTGTTTTCTCGTTTAGGGCACACGCATTTTCTTAATTGGGGACCATACGCCGCTTTTCATGGAATGGCACTACTTTGTCACATTGAAGGTTCCACGATAACCGCCGTATGAACACATCTGCGGATGTTTCTAAATTCAAAATTTCACCATTCTCGTGTTTCAAGGTTGAATTCTGCTTAAGCCGGTGCTAGGGGGCGTGGACGGTAACTTGCACTTTCCAGTACCGTTCATGAACAGGCTCAATCAAACCGAACCTGCAACATTTTCAATTTTGCCGTGTTGGGCTTTCTTTAGGAATTCTGTTTTTCTCTATTCGATAGGTCCAGGACTTCTATACGGTGTCCAGTTATTTTCTGAATAACATGGTGAGTAACCATCACTTTCGTCAGTAAAATATCAAGTTCAAATATTGCACGTTAAACTGCTATTTAAATGTATTATAAGATACCATAAACATTGAAATAGCTGAATATACAATATTATGCTCTATCAATACACATGGGTATAATAGAATATGAGCTTGTAACAAAAGAAATTATTTAATCTATATTATCATTATCTATATTTAATCTAATATAACAAATCTATTACAAATTTTCAAAACTAAAAACATTATATGCTATAATGGAAGTGCAATCCAGTAAAGTTTTTGAGGAAGACGGCAATTCCATGAAGACAACTGGCTTGACATCTGCTGTTATCAAGATACGTCAGTGGCTCCAATGTCAAGGTCAGTGTGATAATGCTGACCTGGTAACTAAATTTATATTACATATCCATTTACTGTAAATAACATTCTACAAATAGTACTGAAATGAATCGGTATTATACGAAAGACCGGTGCTGTCGTTTCAACTTCTCGATTTCAACTTCATCAATTCACTTTTTCAACATACAGAATTTACGATTGCAACTTCAGAAATCAAATTCAAGAATTAGCGATTTTCAACATCACGATTTCAAATTCGATAAGTGAAACACACGTATTCATAAAGTTGAAATCGCTGAAATCGTGAGTTTGTAAACTCACGAAGCTGAAATCGTGAAACTCAATACATGAAGCTGACGTCCTATGTAGTATTACAATATTTATAATAACTGCACATTCGAAAACGTTGATTGTCATTAAAAACCACTACGTTTTACCCTCGAAGGAAAAAATATTGTTCATTATTATTAACAACTATATAGTTTTCGTGTCAATGATGTATAAGATAAACAGCAGGTACTATATCTAAATAACTGGATTTACTTTTAAAAAGTGAGAAATTAACATATAGTCTGGGACATAAAATATGTGTGGTCATAAAAAAACCACAAAAAAACAAACATGACAACTGTTACATTAAATATGCCCATTCTTTGTTATCTTTATTTTTAGCTGATTAGACACAGTATCAGATCTGTACAACTATATAAATTGTAAGTTACTTCATAATGCGGAATACACCGAACATTCAAATATTACCTGACATTTAGAAGTTATCTGGAAACATTTTCGGTTACAGGTTCACTATCAGGAATATTTGTTTATCTTCATGTTATTTTCATAAGGCTAGATACAGCAAAATACTTTGTACCAAAAAGTTCTGGCCCGATATCACGGTGTCAAGGGTATACGCAACCGTCGATAATTTATCATCCTGCGCGTAGCACCGTATCATTTTAGACAAAACGAACACGTAAACACAACATGCATGATCGAAAACGACCTGAAAGTCACACTTTTGAAGTAAGTGTATTCATAAAAGTGTGTCTACAGAATATTATGATCATTGAAGCTTATGTCTTTAGCAAGTTTTTATCAAAGACTTTTACGATTTCTTTGTTTTAATGAAAACAGCTAGATCTGGCAAATGAGCATTTGGAAAACTTCTAAAAGAGATAATTATGTTGTCAATCAAAATATTTATTTAATATAACTAACTGTAAGCATCAAAGATATATATACACAGACTCTTGCACACAAATTTAAGCTGTTTTATTTCTTAAAAAAGTCATAAAAGTGTGACAACTGACCGAGTTCTTGGTACCGTATCATCCGTAAATCTGCACCAACTTGTCATTTAATACCACTCCGTTTTATCAGCGTATCATACTCGCACTTTAATTTCAACCACTAAATTGGTTAGTGTTTGTTAAATTGTCTTTAATTAAATCTGTATCGCGACTGTGTTGCGTCAGACAGATTTAAATTCATAAACGCTTACTTACAAACACTTACCTGTACAAAAAGTTGTTTCTTAGCAAATCAAAATGTTTCAACATTGTTGTTATGTACCATACCATTTAAGCCTGATATGACCAATGTTAGTTTCAATATAATCAGTCCTTTTTGGTGAACATGGGGCCTGGATAAAATAAGAACATTGGGACCTGAATAATAAAAGAACACTGGGACCTGAATAATAAAAGAACATTGACAAATAAATGGTTTGATAGGTCCAGGAGTTCTATACGGTGAGTGTCCAGTTATTTTCTGAATAGCCAGGTGAGTAGAATATCAGTCAGAGTTAGTGTTCAAATATTGCCCTTAAAACTGCTACTTAAATGTATTATAAAATACCATAAACATTGGAATAGCTGAATATACAATCTTATGCTCTTCTACTATGTATGAGTGTTAATAGAATATTAGCTTGTAAAAAAAGAAATTACTTAATCTATATATAATCAACATTTAATATAATATAACAAATCTATTGTATATATTACAATATAACAAATACAAATTTTCAAAACTCAAAACATTATATGCTATAATGGAAGTACAATCCAGTAAAGTTTATGAGAAAGACGACATTCCATGAAGACATCCGGCTTGGCATCTGCTATATTTAATGATACGTCAATGGCTCCAATGTCAAGGTCAGTGTGTCAATGCTGACATGGTAACTAAATATATATAACATGTCAATTTACTGAAAATGAAACTGCTGCAAAAAGTACTGCATTTCGGCAGTATAATACGAAAGACTTCCTGAGTTCTCGGGTTCATCTTCTCAAATTCATAATTTTATCTTCATTAATTCACGATTTCGACATACAGAATTCTTAATTTCAACATAAAGAATTTACGAGATTCAAGATTTCAACTTCATGAATTCACGGTTTAAACTGGTCACAAATTCAACTCCATGAATTTACTATTTCAATTTCACGAATTCACAATTTTAGCTTTGTAATCGGGAAGTTGAAAACAAATTCATGAAGTTGATTTCGTGAATTCATGAAGTTTAAACAGTGAATTCATGAAGTTTAAACAGTGAATTCGTGAAGTTGAATTTGTGAACTCCGTAAGTTGAAGAGTTAAAATTGTGAATTCACGAAGATAAAATCGGATATTCATGCACCGGTCTTTAGATGTATTATCATTTTTATAGCTTAATAATAACTACTAAAAACTTTATATTCTGTAATTGAAAACTTAGTTTTGTACTCAAATTTATTGATTTCATGAATAGACATGACCTTTAATAACATAATCAGAAACATATTTAGTGAGCAATTAGCATCAGTCAATCTTATGTCAACAAAACATTCTTATCAGTTTAATAAAAAAAACAATACCCTCTCCCTGATTCTGATGCATTCAGCAAAAGCAAAATTTCAGACTAAAATGTTATTTACAAGCACTGTAAATCTATATAAATGCGTTACTAAGCATCAACGTCTCAGTTAAAACAACATGAAATATACAACACCCATCTAAAACTCCGATGAGTGGCTTTAATTCAATAACATGATGAATTCGTATTTTTAGCAAAAGTGCTTTTAATGTCATCATTGAATATTTATGTGTTCACAACCATATTGTTATTTTCCAAAACACTGTATTGAAAATAAGATTATTCTAACCAAAAGATTTAGTTAAGAACAATTTTTCCGGACAAATACAAAATTCTAATTCTTGTCATATAGGAGAAATCCAGTAAACGAAGACCAATAGTCCATGCTTGTGCTTGGATTTGTGCAATAAGTAAGGAACACAGTGTCCCCAACATCAAGATTAATCACGATAGACTGGGATATAGCAGCATTTCCTTTGTCTGTATCATCGTCAGTTGGATCAACTTTTATATAGATTACAGGTTGTCCATTCTTGAAAAGATAACAATTAACCCGATCAACCCCCGATGATGACGATTTCTTTACCAATGTAACAGAAAAATGGTAAACACCGGATTTGCTACATGTGTAAGTTCCTGTTGAGATACTAAAATCATTGCCATACTGGTAAATGGTACTGGAAAATGTCAGTTTCGCAATTCCATTGATGTTGCTGTAGGAATCTGGACTTTTAACAGAAAATGCAGACTTGAATGCTGTAATATAATACACATACATAATGTTAGCAACATTGACTAATCTTTAACTATATATTTAATATAATACATAGAGTATAAAGGAAAAAGGTTTAACTGATACTCTATTTAGGTAATGAAACATAACAAGATACGATATTAAAGACTATATCTAAAGGATTCTCAAAGATAGCAGAGCAGCAAAAAGATATTTGTAAACAATATATGTTGTCAGTCAAATTGAAATTCAAAAAAGACAAAAATACCATATGAAATTAAGTATCTACTTTGCCACAACATTAAGTAAAAAATTAAGAGCTATTTATTGGATAACGCTATTTAATTGATGCAAATGAGACCCTTTTTATTTAAACTGTAATCTCTAATTATCTACTTTGACAGTTTCCTATTGAGCATTGACGACTCTGTAAACTTTCTCCAATACAATCCTTTCCTTTATTATCGGGCATTGGATTCGTACATCTCCTTGTCCGTAGTCCACATGTGTCGTCACATGATGTCCAACTTGACCAATATGCCCATTTACCATCGACTTGAAATAATGAAAATGTTTGATGCAAAATTCATACTATTTACAGTTCTGAGATATATATTTGAGTTCTATCTTACGCTGAACGTTTTAAACTAATTCAATTTTCTTGAAAGTACAATACACGTATATGAAAACATTTTGGTTCCTGTCTTTTTTTCAATTTATTTCTTACAGTCAGTTAAAAAGATAAATGAAATTAAATGAAATTAATATGAATCATGTCGTAATTGAATTACAAATAATTGTAAAGATAGATCTATTTAAAGATAACATATTATCAATGAGAATTGCCTGTGCGAAATGCAAATTTACAAGTTTAAATCACTATAACAATAAATGCAAAGTTTTATTATGATAGTACTTAGCAATTGATAATCATTATTTTTTTAAACTTTACTTATTTGTTTTGAGTTTCATGTAAATAGAACAAAACAGTGGCAGACAAAGGCTCAAGATATACATTTTCCTTAAACCAAGTTACGTTAAGATTGATCCTGTCGAGCAGCAAATCCATTTCTATATTGATTTACATTCATTAAAATTTTCTCTCTCATTAAAATTTTACCAATCAGTTCTGATGTATGGTTCCGAGGGAAAGTACGGACGGACAACGCGATTTCAATATCCTTTTTCAGATTTTTATCTGCGTTGCTTAATAACTACTTTTCAATTGCCTTAATGGAAATTTTGTTTTCATTCGGTGTCACAAAAGCCTGGTTTTAATTCTATTTTGGATTTTAAAAGAACATTTTAATTTTATCATCTTTCTTTGTAATGAATAACAACACTACTTAACATATAGACTTTCAAGTTTGCTAATAAGAGGAGTAGTCAATAATATATAGTAGGTTATTAGGAAAATACACATTATGTACACTTTCAAATGTATATTTTTCCACACGTTACGTTGCATAAGTTCATGCTTGCCCTTTTATTGTCGATCGACAGTGTGTTTTATATACACGGGGGGTGGAACCCATATGAATCTCAAAATTGAGCATTGGTAAATAATGTATGTGAATTTCCGCTGCTCAATATGTGCAGTATAACTCGTTGTTTGAAGGAGAAAATAGGCCAATCATAGGGTAAGCTTTTAACATTTTAAACATATAAATTTTATATAAAATTCAAAGCTTTTTTTAAGAAAATGTTTAAAATCTTGTAAACCTACCCTGTGATTGACCTATTTTCTCCTTCACATATCGAGTTATACTGCACATATTAAGCAGCGAAAATTTACACTTATATTTTTACCGAAGCTCAATTTTGAGATTCATTTGGGGCTCTACCCTCGTGATATATTTAAATGTATATTCCGTATTTGAATTTTATGGATATTTTCACGAATGCAACATTACTAAACAGACTTTCAAAACAAAAACAGATTTGATTTATTTTGCTGAAAGTTGTTACCTCGTTTGAAACAAGATTCATGTAGAATAAAATACTAACTGTACAAAATTTGTGGGCTTTAAAAGATGCAAGCTTTAAAATTAAATATTGTATTCTACAATAAAGGAAGGTATGATGGAATGGCAAACTATGGGCATACATCAAATATTTTATTGTTGGAGACCAATTACGTTTGAAATGCTTGCAATTGATGGTTTCCTTGAACAATAAAACACAGCCCCATAAAGGTCTTTCCCAAATATATCCTGTAAGACGATATTCGGCTTCTGCATATAAGTTTGCAATGTTTGGGTCATACATGTCTTGGCAAAAGTAAATGTATGATCAATTGGTATATAACGGCATAAGAGTAGAGTTATAAGCTGTCATTACAATTTCATCTGTATTTCTTTGTCAACAAAAGTCGAATACAAGACATTATCAAAGCAAGTCACGAATATATAATTTGGCGCCGTAATAATAAGATTATCTCAATTTTATAAAGAATAGTAAAAAAGCCGTAAGACATGTATTACATAAGAATGTAATAAAAAAATTCTTAGAATATTTTACTTATATTTGTGGTAAAATTGTTCGAATGTTAAATTTGAAATTCTACTATTTATTCCTTTTTATTTTCTACATTGTACTATGCAACGACCTGGACATGCGTCTTTGGAACATTCATCAGTTTCTCTTATACATAATAAGTTGTTTTTACCCTTTGCAAATTTTGAAACACAACGAGTATGTGTAAGCAAGTGAGAAATAAGAGTACATCAGATGAATTAATTTTGATAGTTCCTCAGAAAAAAATGAGTGTATTTCTATGTCCCGTCGAAATGTTCTTTTTTTATAAAATAATTAAAGAAAAAACCTGGACAGTTGTCTTTTGAGCATTCACTGCTCTGCAAACTTTCTCCAATACAGTCATCTCCATTATTCATAGGCACTGGATTTGTACATGTTCTTAACCGTAGATGCTTTCCATTACCGCATGTTACGTCACACGATGTCCAACTTGACCATTGAGCCCAACGGCCGTCGACTGAATTTTAATAGTAATAAAAAAGTAGAGTGTTAAATAAATAAAATTAATACAACTGGAACAAAATTGAATTGAATGTGCTCCTGTATCAACATCAGTTTATAAGCTTTGTATTTTTGGTTCAGTACTATTTATAAAGTTGTTATAGGCAGAAAAAACCAACTTACCAGTAACAAGCGTTAATAAAAGTTTTCAATTTATTATTGCAACATTTTTCATGAACTTTTGTTGAGAGTAAGAGATTATAAAGAATCAAATGTAGAGCTGTACTGACTGAATATTTATCATTCACATGTAAACCGTATGTAGCCTATCAAAATAAAAGTTGCCAGTCATAATTATAAGAAAAATAGCATAGATGATCATTCGTGTGTCGTATATAATCATGGCAAATAGAGTGAGGACGGGATGGTTCGGCGCTCCCTTGTTGTTAGTTGCAACTTACAACGATTTATGTCGTTCAATTAATGAGAATTTGTCCAGTATCCAGGTAATCAATATAAGCGTCCTCATTAATTTCTAATGCAGCTTTCTTGGCTTTTTAAATAGACCCACATACGTTGCTTTTCTAAGTAAGACAGTGTATATTGTACAGTATATGTACAGCAGAAAAATGTAGAAATTGTGACACCCATTTTTGTCTTTCATGACTATCAGATGCATGCCCTTGAATTACTTTCACTCGTCATTGAACTCTTTCTATGTATAAGAAATGTTTGCATTCTTTAAAATAACCTAGTCTATTCTGTGTCATCATAAACACTTATAACCCGACACTTACATTTTTTAGTATAAACAGGTTATTCATGGACGGACTTTGTTCAAATTGGAATTATAAAAAAACAATCAACATATCAGATTTGCTTCTTAGAATCATATTTACAATTCATCGATAAGGAAATAGAAAAAATAACAAAACAAAGGCTACTTTAAAATGAGAAATCACAGAGTGACTGTAAAAATCCTAACAAAATGAAAAGTCTTAGAATCCCACTAAAACTGTCTGTTAACCAATTCTAACACTTTGTATGTCCTCCCAATTGACTATAACAACGTAAACACCTCTGCCTCATAGTTCTCTATGCCTAAACAAGGGCTTGCTCGAGTTCCAGCCAATTGCGAGGGGCTTCTGGTCGCTTTTTCACAAGCCTGTTCAATTCAGCCGACAAGTGTGATGTTTAGATCTGGTGACTTGGGATGCAGGAGCTGCTGGAACTCGAGGAAGCCCTTATTCAGTAATGGAGAAATATTCTCCCCAATTTTTCATGAGAAACTACGTCATTAACATGATACAGGTGTTTACACGTTGTTATAGCCATTGGAGGACACGCAAAGTATTAGAGCTGGTTAACATACATGTTAAGTGGGATTCAGATACTTTTTATTTTGTTAAGATATTTACAGACATTTTGTGATTTTTCATTTTGCAGTAGCATATTTGTTTTGTTATGTCTCTATTTTCTTGCCAATGTATTGTAAATTAAATTTTAAGTTATAAGTATGATATGTTGAATTGTTTTATGGTCCAAAGTTGGACACAATCCGTCAACAAATAATCAATTTATACCGAAAAATGTAAGTGTCGGGTTATAAGTGCCTCTGAGTGTACTCATTTGCATAAGTCACAACATATGTATTTGAAAAATATCTGCCTTATACGTTACCGTTATATCATTCACTAAACGTATTTCAAATATGAGACATTATATTAGCAAGAAAACAATTTTAACGCCGTAATTGCATGGTTATTTAGACATGATGATATTGAAATAGTTTTTATTGTTCGGCAAAGCTGTAGAGATCACATTGCAACTTTACTTTTCAGCTTTACCGGTGAAGAAAGACTTTAGGCCCCCGTATATTATTTCAGGCACGATCGAGCACCTAAGTAGAACCACCAATGTTCTGTTAGCTTATCAGATAGTTTCCTCACAAGAAAAATCAAAAGTCTCCGAAGAAATTCGAACCTTTAGCGATGATATTAAGTATTTTAAAGTCAACAAACTTCCACACTTAGCCAAAAATTTATTTAGCATTTCAAATTAAAAATTTTTTTTTGCACATATTTGTGTAAAAAATAAGTAAAGATTTATTTCTACGGTTGAACAAGTATTTTTCATTTTCTTATCATTATATCTATATTGGATCATATACCATATATCATATGCTTGCGAAAATTTTGGAAATCATCATCACAAGAATGTAATTGATACAAATAAAGTTGTCTTTAACTTCTAAATATTTAGAAACAAAACGTCGTTTTTGAATGTGCAAGTGTGGATAAACAATTTATCAGTAGGATTATTTTTTTATTTTTCTTCAGAAATAATGACATTAAAAGTTGAAGTAATTATCTATCTATGTTTTTAGTAACTTTGCTTTTCTGTATAAACCAAATTTAAAGAATAAAACCTGGACAGTTGTCTTTTGAGCAGTCACTGCTCTGCAAATTTTCTCCAAAACAGTCATTTCCATTATCCATCGGCACTGGATTTGTACATGTTCTTAACCGTAGTTGTTTTCCATTACCACATGTTACGTCACAGGTGGTCCAGCTTGACCATTGAGCCCAACGACCGTCGACTGGATTTTAATAATAATGTAAAGGAGGTGTGTTAAGATATAAATAAATAAGAATTTATACAGCTCGTACCAAAATCAAAGTGATTGTATTTCCATATGATCATCAATTTTCAAGCTTTGTTTGATCTGTTTCTGTTCAATTTATAAAGTTATTGTAGGTAAAAAAACCTTACAATTACCAGGCGATAATAGAAGTTGTCAATTCTACTTCATTATTGCAACCTTTTTCATATACTTTTGTTGAAAGCGATCATAAGGAATGAATAGTATATCTGAACTGACTGAATGTTCATCATTGAAATGTTAACATCAAAATAAAAATTGCCAGTCATAATGCAATATTCTAACACGACCCGCAGTTTCCCCTATTAATTATAGAAGGACTGATATGCAATAAAATCACTATTGATATTCTATACTTAGACATGCGACGTAAACATTTGAGTTCTGACGTAACCATTAAAAATACGACGCGCTGAAAATAAGTACGGATTTTAGCTTGATATCAGGAACGGCAGCATTTATTTGTTGATATCGTTTGAGAATCGAAATAATATTTCCAATTCAGTGATTTATTGTTTGATAAAACTCTTTGTCGTTCGGATGCGCATCATTTTATCATACTGACTTCGCCCTCCTGATACAAATCCTCGTATCGACACTCCAAACAGAGTATTTTGTTTAGCGATATACATTTCTTAAATAATGGCATAGATGAACATTTGTGTATCATATACATGTATAAATCATGACAATTCAAATGGAGCGAGGAACAGGTAGGAATGGTGCAGCACTTCCGAATTTTTAACTCGTTATATCAAAACAAGGCATTTTGATTTGGTGCAATAGAAAAAGCGTAGATTGAGGTAAACATTGCATTTAACTGTTAAAACTAAATTTGTTAATATATGTGTGAAATTACATAATGAATTATTTTTTAATTTGTTCAATTACTAAGAATGCGTCCAGTAACCAGGTTATCAATATAAGCACCCTCATTATCTTCTTATGGAAGCTTATTCGGCTTTAAAAATAGACCACATACGTCAGAAAAATGTAAAAAAAAATGTGACATCCATTCCCGTGTCTTCAATTACTTTCACTCGTCATTGAACTCTTTCTATGTATAAGAAATGCTTGCAATCTTAAAAATAACCTAGTCTATCCTGTGTCATCATATAATCATTTGCATTAGTCACAACATATGTATTTGAAAAACTATCTGCCTTATACGTAACGTCATATCATTCACCAAACGTATTTCAAATACAAGGCAAGAAAAGAATTTCAACACCGTAATTGCATGGTGATATTGACATAGTTTTTATTGTTTGGCAAAGTTGTGTAGATCACATTGCGACTTAACGTTACAGCTTTACTGTTGGAGGAAGATCGAGCACCTGAGTTGAACCAACGATGTTCTGTTAGCTTATCGAATAGCTTCCTCACATAAAAGAATCAAAAGTCCCTGAACGGATTCGAACCTAAAGCGGTGAGGGCAAATATTTAAAAGTCAACGAACATTACCACTCAGCCAAACAATGTGTTTTGCATTTAAAATTAAAATAGATTTTTTTACACATATTTATGTGAAAAATAAGAAATCTTTTTTTAAAACGGTTGAACTTTGAACAGCATTTTTATTTTGTTTATGATTATATCTATATAGAATAATATTACAACCTGGGCAGCTGTCTCTTGAGCATTCAGCAGTTTGTGTATTCTCTCCTGTACAACTGAGTCCACTATTCGCTGGAACTGGATTTGTACATGTTCTAGAACGTTGATGAGTTCCTTTTCCACACATGACGTCACATGAAGTCCAATTTGACCAATGTGCCCATTGACCATTGACTGAAAGATATCTTTGATTGTATTAAAAGTTTATTTTGTATTTGAATAATATGATATGTGTTATAAATTTTTATCTAGAACTTTTACAATAGATATTTTAACTCCTTGCTTCAAAGGTTTTACCCAAATAGAACCACTAAATATGGATATGGATTGACTCAACAAACTGAAGGAGAACAATTTTGTTAAAAAGAAGACATGAGTTAATCATACAACTGCCTATATTCTGGTAGATGCTACTTGGCTTGACTTTTGAGTTGAAACGTTCGATTCATAAACGACTTTGCAAAAGCTATTATATACAATAATGATTAATGTACAATTGTAATTGTTCATTATCGAAATGGCTTGCGTATATTTCGAAAATCATCATGACAAGCATGTGTTTGATACTAACATAGTTGTCTTTAACCTCTAAATATTTAGGAACAAAACATTTTTGTATGTGTACGTGTGGGTTAACAATTTATCAGTAGGATTATTTTTTTTATTTTCTTTTTAAAAGTTTATTAAATTATCTATCTATGTCTCGTGGTCACATTAATTTTCTGTATTAAACAAATTTTAAGTCAAAACCTGGACAGTTGTCTTTTGAGCATTCACTGCTCTGCAAACTTTCTCCAATACAGTCACTCCCCTTATTCGCAGGCACTGGATTTGTACATGTTCTTAACCGTAGATGTTTTCCATTACCACATGTTACGTCGCACGTGGTCCAGCTTGACCATTGAGCCCAATGACCGTCGACTGGAATTTAATAATAATGGCTAGGTATGAATTAAGATATGAAATAAAAATAAATACAATTCGGAACAAAATTAAAATGATTTTATTCCCATATGATAATCAATATAATAGCTTTGTATATTTGTTCCCGTTTTTTTTATAAAGATGTTATAGGTTTTCAATTAAACTAAGTCTGCAATTTTCATATAATTTTGTTGTAATTAATGCTTCCGAGGGTTTACTACTTTGTTTCCAGATCTTTTACAATTACCAGGCGTTAATAGAAGTTTTCAATTCACTTCATTATTGCAATATTTTTCATAAACTTTTGTTGAAAGAGATCATAAAGAATGAATAGTATAGCTGAATTGACTGTGTGTTTATCAATGAAATGTGCACCATATGTATCCTATAAATATAAAAGTTGCCAGTCATATGATTATGCAATATTCTCACACTTCCGAAAGTGAGTGTTATTATGCAATAAAATCACTGTTGATATTCTATATTTAGACATGTGACGTAACCATTTGACATATGACGTAACCATTAAAAATGCGACCCGCTGAAAATAAGTTAATCAGGCGTAATTGTAATATCAGAAACTGCAGCATTTATTTGTTGATATCGTTTGAGAATTGAACTTATACATGTGTATATCTTATCGCGTGATAAAATAACATTTTGTCGTTCGGATGCGCATCATTATATCACTCTTGCTACGCCCTCGTGATATAATTCCTCGCATGGAAACTCCAAACAGTGTATTTAATTTAGCGATAAATCACTGTTTTGGATATATTAGTTATTAAATAATGGCAAAGAAGAACATTTGTGTATTGTATATAAATCATGGCAATTCATTTCGTAAGGATAGTGCAGCGCTTCAGAATTTTATCTCGTTAAACTATCACAACACCGCAATTTATTTGGCACAGTTAATGCAAGGTTATAAAAAAATGTAATTTAAACGTAGATTAAAGTTTGCATTGCATTAAACTATTTAAAATAAACTTAATAATATTAGTGTGAAATTACATGATGAATTGTTTTTTTAGTGGCTGCATGCCTGCAGATGGGCCAACATATTTCGAGATAATCAACTTTGAGAAAAAATAAACTTAGAATTAAGAATAGTAAATAATAATATTCACAATTAAATACATAATTTACATGTTATATCCAATTAATGACTAATGTTGCAGTATTTATTACAATATTTTACTTGGGGCTTTTTTGGTAATTTTTCGTAGATTTTAAGTACGATTGGCAATGTGTTAATTACTTTCTTTGTTCGTTTCACAATATTCAACTTTTTAAAACATTACAAGTCATGAAAAAAGCATGAATCTTGATGGCATGCTACTTTGAGAATTCATTTCAATTTGTGTTATTTATTATGTCAGAAAAGCATATTATTGTTTAAAGAAATGACCTGGACAGCTGACTTTCGAGCATTCAGCAGTTTGTAAATTCTCCCCCGTACAAGCGAGTCCGTTGTTCGCTGGAACTGGATTGGTACAGGTTCTAGAACGAAGATGAGATCCTTGTCCACACGTGACATCACAAGAGGTCCAGCTTGACCAATGTGCCCATTGACCATCGACTAAAATAGTATATGCTTAAATAGAATGTGTTCTTTCTGCATTTCAATCTCAAAATTTTTTCATGTTATTTAGAATATTTTGCGAGACAGAAAGTGTCTGAGATAGGGGGAGAGAGACAGAGATAGAGACTAACGCAAGTCTTATCTAGAATGTAAAAGTTATTAACAATATAAACGAATGAAACATTGAATGTATAAAATTATAATAAGCAAACACCTGGGCAGATTTATAGAGGCTCATAGGGAAGACTGGGCATGCCTAACTATGTTGCCTCTTTAAATAAAGTCTTTATTATTATCATTATTATTATTATTATAATGTAGAACTAGATAAGCTAACGTTGTTTGAAAAATTCCTTCAATGAAAGGTTATGTATGAACGTTTAGTTGTCTTAAAACGTTATTTAGATTTTGAATTCAAACGAATCTATTTGAATAAAAGTTTAAAACAGAAAAGCAGGATAATTATTTTATACGTTTCAATTTGAAAACTAAACCTACAACAAACTTATGTCGTCTTTTACATATATAAAATTATAAGAAGCAAACACCTGGGCAGATGCTTTTAGAGCAGTCACTAATCTGCAAACTCTCTCCAGTACAATCAACTCCCTTATCCATAAGCACTGCATTTGTACATGTTCTTGTACGACGATGAGTTCCATTACCACACGTTACGTCACACGAGGTCCATATTGACCATTCAGCCCATTGACCGTCGACTGGAAAATGATAATAATCATTTATACAAAATCATAGTAAGTATGAATTGTTGTTTGCTTGACAAACAATCTTTCAATATTTGTAATAGTACTATTTAATTAGACTCTTTATTTACACAAGAAAACTGAACACACACGTCAACGTTCTTAGAGTACTAAATTTATATTCATTATTTGTACATTCCTATTAACTGTGGTTGAAATTAAAAGAGGTCATCCAGAATCAAAAGAATAACTTTACTGACAGAATATTTATTATGAAAAAGTATACTGAATATATTGTATCAAAATGAAACTTGCAATAGAAAGAAATCACTAAGGTGAGCATTATTGTGTATATACGAGGGTTGTCACTAGATGTTGTGTAAACAAATCTTGTTTCTCAATCAGTTATAAAATGGAATAAGGCAGCTAATCAAAAATCAATACACCTTTTATGCGTGTCTATGCGAAATAAATACTAAATATCTACATACGGAAGTTTAAGTATCCTATCTATACATAACCGGCGCACGAATATTATGGTTATTTGAATAGGGGGTAGTAGTTCGGCGCATCCGTGCTTAATCTCTCAACGATTGATATCGTCCAATTTCTGATAATTCAACCAGATACCCCTAAATTCTCAATATAAGCGCCCCCATTAATTTCAAATTACGTTGTTAATTTTACATACATCTCTTTATCTATTTTACATTGTCAAGTATACATTAAGTCGGGAACATGTCCCAAAAAGTGACAACCATGTCAATCGTCTTTGATTGGAAAGCTGTTGGCCTATTTTAAGTTGTTTCCACCCGTCATGAAAATCTTTTGATGTCAATGAAATGCTTCGATTTTTTTTATCATTTAATCGTTTCAATCAGAAATGCGATATTTTTGACCTTTCAAAATTCATTTTTAATTGTTCCACTCATTGTTTTCTCGTTAAGAACACACGCATTCTTAAACATTGGGTCAATATGCCGTTTCATATGGAATGGAACGAAAGTGGCACACCTAAAGTTCTATAATTACTACGATATTAACACATCTGCGGGTGTTTCTTAATTCTGAATTTCACAATAGCCATGAAAAATGTTAAACACTGCTGAAAGCTGCATTTTATAGTTTTCCTTAATTCAGAAATAGCTACATTTCGCAAATAAATTGGGTTTTCCATAAGCAGGCTCTATCAAACCGAGTCTGCAAATTTCCCATTTGTCGTTTTGGAAGATCTTTAGGGATTCTGTATTTCTCTATTTTATATCGACTAAGATGATAAAAATGAGCTTCATAAGTGCGAATGTCTGCGACCACATTTTGGCGATATCGAAAGTACACAATCTGATTGCATGAGAAACTCCGTATTTGGTTCATCAGAGCGTCAACAAACATTCCTTTAAGAAGCAGTCAACATTTAATGTTTGGCAATATTAACCTGAAAAATCGGAATATGTAATAACTTTTTTTCTGATATTATCGGATTCCGAAGTAAGCTATATGGATTTTAACATAATTATAACAAAACGGAAAATGTACAACATGTGATTTTTTATGTTTTCGAATATGTTTTTTGTTTCATATTTTGGAAAACTTGACAACTTCTCATATTGAAATTTATGAAATTAAAAAATTATGTATTTGTCAAAATAATGAAATTGAAAAAGAATGCTAGAAATTAAATACACAATCGAACATGCAACTACGTGGCCACATTCCGTCATTCTTTCCACTTTACCATCGAGCAGTATTTATTGATTTAAGTATCGAGATCTATAGTATCATTAAGATCGTAAGCGTAAATCATAATGAATTACAGAAACTAACAAAAATTCTCCCGAAATATAAATCTAAGTTCAATATTGCCATAAAATCACAATATATTTCCGCATTATTAACGGTTACTTTCATACAAATTGTATCTTCTTTTATTAGATGACCGACATGTCAAATGTCACCGAAAAGCTATTACGGTTAAAAAAATGTTTGAACAACCGGATTAGATGGAAAAACCCTACACTATTGATTTTCTAAAAGTCTAGCATTCACGAGTTAATCATAGTCTTTATTTGTATGTTATCATTATCTTGGTTATCATATTTTATATACGAATTTTATTGTTATTGTTTTTTTTTTCTTTTAAATATAATAGTTTCTGAACAATATTGAAATATATTGTTTTACTGATTTCGCATCAAAGTTTTATTTATACAATACCTCATTTACATCTAGTAAATGTATATTCTTCATTAATTCTTATGTTGTCCAAAATAAATAATCTTACACTTGAATCCAAACTCATCAAAGGCGATATTTGTGTTCTTATATAATTGAATAATACAAATACCTTGACAGCTTCCTTTTGAGCATTCAGCACTTTGTAAATTCTCTCCAGTACAATCGAGTCCATTATTAGTCGGAACTGGATTTGTGCATGTCCTCGATCGTAGATGAGTTCCATGTCCACAAGTGACGTCACAAGAAGTCCAGGTTGACCAGGGAGTCCATTGACCATCGACTAAGTATGATTTAGAATGTGTTTGTTTTGTGAATTGTGTTATGAAAAAAAAACTTGTTATTTTGATATTTACTAGAGACTTAATTGCTCTAAAGTTTGTTTTTTCACCCAAAATAAAGAAGCAACTTTTATTTAAAGTAAAACAATAAATAATATATTAAACAGATCTATGAGCTTTCATAGATACATGATTTATTTTGTAATACTAGTAATGTGTACAATGTTTAAAAGTATGTTCTGATGACAAATATAGATAAACATTAACGGGAAACCGCAAAGCAACTGGAACTATACTATACAATTTTGTATGTGTCATGGTTAAATTTCAGTACAGCAACTTAGCATTATTTTAAAAATTCTCAAGTAAAGTGAATTTAAAACGATATGCTTATTCTTCTCTGCCTCTAAAACTTTATTTATGTTTTATATTATATAATTTTAAGTAAACGCCTGGACAGTTGTCTTTTGAGCATTCACTGCTCTGCAAACTTTCTCCAATACAGTTACTTCCCTTATTCGCAGGCATTGGATTTGTACATGTTCTTGTTCGTAGTTGTGTTCCATTACCACACGTTACGTCACACGAGGTCCAGCTTGACCATTGTGCCCAACGACCGTCGGCTGGATTTTTATAATTATTAAAATGTATTCAATGTATTCAGCTATTTAAAAAAAATTATGTAAGCATGACTTATAAATTATTGGAATTATTTTTGAACTTAATCATCTTAAATGTTCAAGCTTATAATATTTGTGACAGTATAAATATAAAATACACTAAAAAGTACCTGGTTCCTTCGGAACGAACAGTACAATGACCAACGTGATAAGAGTGATGTAAAGAACGCTTATCAACACTATCAATACGTAAATCACATATTTCAGTCGCTTCACAGTGTCGTCATCTCCACTTTCAACTTTTCTTTTATCATAGTCACCATATTTTAATGTCTCATAAGGTTCCTCTTCTATTTTCTGTGGTTCGGTAGTACAACTTTCGGTCGAAATCTTTAAGTTCTCATATACAATCTCATCATTTGATCTACTTGTGTCCATTTCAATATCACTCAATTCCATTTTATATTTTTTATTTAAAATGATGAATTCAAGTTATAATATATTTGATCTAAAATTATCATTAGCAGGTGGAACGATATAACATTATTTTTTAATCATTATATCTTATACAAAGCCATTGTGGTACAAGCCTTAACACAACCCCCGAGTTTAAACATTTTAGATTTTGAGAATGATTTAATAACAAATTATTTTTCAAACTTCCTTTTGCCAGACAACAACTCGTTTGCAACGATTTGTTATATACGGAAACGTATAAAGGCCATTACATTTGCATTAATAATCAATAATTTCATTATCAGTTTATGTAACCAATAGTAAAAATATCAGAGACTAGAAATTAGACAGCAGTGAGTACGGAAATAGTCACTTAGTCGACGAAAGAAGGAAAAAACACGTCAAGCTCTACAATCTAAAGGATAAAATAAGTCTTGCACAAATTATTTAATAATTTGCACTGATTAAATTTGTACTATACCATTTAAAATTGTTACTTCTCGGCACTTTCCGTCAAACTTCGAGTTAGAACATTAGACACCTAAGCAACATTAGATATTTTGGCTAAGAAAGATGAATGTACTAAAGACAAGAGGGGCGTGATGGTCCTTTATTGCTCACATGAGACACATTGCTAAAATGTTAAAGCCAGTGATAAGGTGACATTGGGTTTGCCATTATTTTCCCCAATAATTGTAAACTAAATGATAATAAGGTGATGCTACATGACAAATACCCAAGCTCTTGGCATTGTAGTTTTTGGAGATATCATTCAAATTTAGTTTTTTAACATTGTTTACATGAAAAGGCATTAGAATTGTTGTCTATTTGTACGATTTCTGCAAAAGGCCGGAATTGTTGAAGAATCCCAAATATTTAATTTAATTTTTGATTGATTTGTATTAGATGGCTTTGCCGTAAACACAATATATAAAACATATGAGTAACACGATCCATTATGTTTATTCATATAAACTTAAATTTCATGTTCGATTAAGCATTTAAGATAGTTGTTTAACTAGTAAAAAGAACGGAAAATGCAAATTGCAAAAATTATAGTTGAAATTACATTTTTCACTTAGTTTAAACATATTTATTGCATATGCTATATGATCAGACTAGATCTACAACATAAAATATATTAAAACAACCATACTATCATAAATACGAATTTGACGAAAGCATTAGGTGCTTATTTAAGTCAATCTCCATAATTGATTAATTACAAAAAATAATACATGCCTGGTTGATGTACATGTAAATAGTATACAATCATATTGCAAAGTGTGTACAACAACCGTCTTTATTGATTGTATGCCAAAAAGTATGCCAAAATACCTTGAAAAATGAAGCACAAATCAATGTTTTGTGGTAAGGAACTCATACTATAAGTTATTTATGAATATTTTAGTATATATTAACAGACAACAACTTAAAGACAGAAAGAGACGAAGAGAAAATTAGATCAGATCTGATTGAAAAAAGAGAAGCATCCCCGACATGAGAATATAGAGAGAGACATTTTGAGTGATTCGTCGCACTTTTGCTTAAGAAGGCATATACGAAAGTTACTATAAAAGTGACATTCGGGAAGATAAGCATAATTGTTTCCAAGTTCTCCATAATGATAAAGGGGTGGCAATTGGACTAGATTACGAATGAAAAGGTGATGATTTAGTTTTCTGCAATTCATGCGAAGCCTAGCATAATAGACATGTGCTATTAGCAAATGTACTATCACGGATTGGTATAACTTTACTTACAAAAGCTTTCAAATGTCGATTGACATCAATCCAAAAAAACATTTCTAGAGACGGGCACTGACAATAATACATAAATCATACATCAATTGTTATATCAGTGGTAAAATCTTCAACCTCACAATAATAACGACAGCTTAACTTTTCAATTACACCTTAACAGCCAGTTTTCAAAGCTCTGATCCTTTAAAGAGTGTACATATTGAAGTAAACATAACCTTGGTTAGCAACATACTGTGTTTCATATATTTATCTATTCAAACCTATTATTATTAAATTTCAATTCAGTTGACCAGTTTTTTTATTATATTCTATTATAAAGAGTCATTATAAATTAGCACCATATAACATATTGTTATATAAATCTATCTCGAGGCAGATTAGGCATATTTAACTAATATTTGATACTTCACTTACAAACATAAATGTTTAAAAGATTCAATAGTATATTTACATTAATTACATTCAATATACAAGATATTTAAGCAAATATTTGTACTTTTTATGTCCCTCTACATTGCGGTTGCTTAAAATCCTAAAGCTCAGATTTATAAACATTTCTTATTTATATTGCGTTTTGTATTCTCCTGATATTACAAAGCATTAATATCAATTGGCATGGTTGATGTGACCACAATGCGCTTCCATAGAAAATATATATCGATCGATTATTAATTGAATAACCACCGACACATCTTGCATATTCATCGTCAAAGTCAATCAAGCGGTACGTATATTGGTTTGAGTTAATAATAAACTTACAGGTCTGTTAAAATTTTATTTATAAAATTTCAAAAAGTTATACTTTATTCAAGTATTCACAGAAATTAATGTCTCAATCATAAGTTTATACAATTCATTGTTCCTATACATGTAATATATCACTTTCTTATTCAAGAAGGAAACTTAATTTATATAAAGGTTTAAGTAAATGCATAGAATATCTTTATTCTTACTCATAATTATCTTTCTGTATGAATTCATCAAATTCCTTTTGTTATACATATATAAAGGATACTGAACGAGTGCAGATTAAATACCAAAGTTATTTAAGTTATAATAAAACCGACAAATATATCCTTCCGTAATTATAATTGTATACGGTTTGAATTGACAAATAAGTTTATATTCCTGAACGTACTTAGCAATTGCAACACTCTAAAAATGACATGTCGCAGTGACTTGTTTCATTGCTGTTTTGTCAACCCAGTACTTGCAATTTCATTTTTGGTAAACGATTTGAAAATGCAGTAACATTACCTTTGGTATAATTGTTTTCGTAAATATATTTTAAAGTTTATTAACTTCTGTAGCTGTTGTATTTAGTTTACAAATAACAATTGTTCGAATTTCGAAAAAGAATACTTCCAAATTTAACTGTATGATTTAAACATATTTATAATCTACAACAGCAAATGAACACATGCACGAAAAACATTGCTTAACAAAAAAATACTTTTAACAGCATCATTATATGTTTCTCTGAAACATTTAATTTTGTTTACGTACAACATTCAAGTGTGTGAAATAATATAAACATAATTTACTAAATTCTATTGAACGAGTTGAAATAAAATCATAATTTTCGAGCCTCCGGGGAGCATTATATTGTATAAATCGACGATTTCAATGAATTAAACATTGAATCGGCACATATATTATATTCTATCTATCACATACACATAAATGAATGGTTTGCAGTTAAGAGTATTTTTTCATTGACGCACCTTTCAATGGAACGCTAACATTAGCGCGCTTTAAATCAAAAATTATATACTTTTCAACGGCTTAATAGTATTAAATGTATTAAATATATTTAAAAGGGCTCACATTTCAATTATAATTGGACACAGTTGTTGTTGATGACTTCGACAAGACAACTTTAAATAAAAATGAAAGATCAAATTACATATAAAATCATTGAAAATGACTTCAAATAAATCAGTTGTTGGCAATATAATGTATTTTATCGGTTCAGATATCTATTTCAGTAAATAGAGTTATTTGTTATATAATGCGTTAACCACATAATAAACGCGACATTCAGTTTAAACAAAAAACGTGCCGCGTAAACCTGCATCAATAGAAAAATGAGGTATTTTATGATCTATTACAAACATTATTGCATGCCCAAATCAAATGGTAGCAATGTCTTTAAAAAATTTAATACTACATGTATTCGGTATTGTCAGATAACTTAATATATTAAGTATATGTTCGCGTGTTACGGGTAAAATATTGAAAGTCTCCTTGACATTTTTATGTTTTGTATATATAGCAAATTATAAGTTCACTTATTCGCCTGCGCTTGATACCGGCTAAAACAAATTACCGAAGGGTTACCTGTTCATAAAATTCCATCATGGCAATCAAAATAAAAGTGAAGTAAATGTTCCATGAAACTACTGATCTGCATTTTGCATTGCTGACCGGTTTCGATGTCATTCCAAGAACATACAGCAGCCGGTTTCAGATCAATACGACAGCGAGAGCAGTCAATTTTCAGTCATATTATGCGTTTTCAGAGAGCGGAGTTGAAGAACAACATTCATTACCTAATACGCTTGGGCTTCCGTGACCGTGCGGTTGAGGTCGCCGTCTTCAAATAACTTTCTCATCGCCGTCGTGGACTCGAATTCTGTCAGGGAAGTTGGATTCTTCCATTTGAGGAAGTTGGATTATGCAACAACTTTATTTAACATTTAAAACAGTTGTAAATGTTTATGACTGACAATACTTTCCAAAGATTATTGTTCAATTTGATGTAGTTTTAGACCAAGAACAATATTTCAGTTTATTCGCTCACTCCGTTTTATCCAGAATGATTATTTCAATTGTGAAAATTTACACAACACTAAAAAGCGTTTCAACATTATTTACTCAAATCGGGATAAGAAGAGAACAATTATACGATTTTTAATTTGTTTTCTCTGTTTTCCCATGTGATCAATTTAAGAAATTCAAATTTTATGTTTTAAGGATTTTAGACCTCAGTCGAGTTCCTTTATGGATAGGAAGAAAATAAGTTTTCTAAAATAATTTCAGTACTTTCTGAGGTTACAGGAGATGCGGAAAGACGGACTGACGGACAGATAGACGGATGGATAGTTAATAAATTGCGCCTCCGGTTAAACCTGTTTTAATCATCTTTAATAAACAATATACTGATATATATACAAATGTTTTATATTATAAAATACATACAATAAAATGACTCCGCGTTTATCTCAATTATACATTAATAAAGTATAAAAATAATGTCAGAACTGTATGTCCTTGCATTTCAAACATTGGTTACAACAAGGTTATGCCGTGACATTAATGAAATACTTAAGAAAAAAAAACATTCCAATATTAAAGTAAATCGTATATAATTAACACTTTCTGTTTGGTACTTCGACACTCCTTTTATCAAACATGAAAAC